AGATAAGAAGACAATGCATTATAAAAATCTAAACCGTAAGGTGTGCGATATATATGGTCTGCGATATCGTAATTGTTGTTTTAATGATGTGCGATTCAACATTATCGAGTAGGCCCTACATCGCAAAAAGCAAACAAAACACACCTACAGAGTGCACAGTCTGCACACATACATTAGGTGATGAAGTCAGTTAATATAGGTTAAACTAGTACGCGCATTTAGAGTGTGTTCTTTCACTGCATGAATCGTCTATTAAAATGCATTTCGAATTATCACATAATTCAAGATATGGGGGCAGAAAATGTATATATTTATATAATTTCATATAGTTAATATCACACGAAGAGTGCTCTTTTTTTCTCCAAAAGTCAACACGATTACAATTGTGATATTGACTTATGTTTTAGACACCGTATTTCCAGCTTTTGCTCTATTATTTCCAACAAAAAGCAGCGCTGTTTTGCGTCTCTGAGCAACATGATGGTGTTTCGTTCCTGAATGAATCAACCGTTTAAATGATTCGGTTCAATCGCAATGACTCACTTATTAAAAGTGACTTGCTGCCACCTACTGATGGTTTTAATTTCACATTTAAAGTATCTTTTCATTTTTTAAAAAATAATTTCAAACCTCAGTTTTCAATGTTTTATGTTTAAAATATCAAAACATTATTCATGGATTTGTAACTGCAGGTTAAAGTATTCCATGTCCCTCTGAGCTGCATTACACAGTGTGTAAATATATCTAAATGCCACATAAGATGCAGCTTCTGTGTTTCCTCTGTATTGCAAAGATAAATTTTGTTGATACTGATTTAATTTGCTTTGTAACAGTCCAAATGCAAGAATTTGACTCAAAAGTTGTTGCACACTTTTAGAGAAAAATGGCTTAAAGTTAAAAATGCCCATAAAACTTATTGGAAAAATTTCATTTCTATCACTGCTGTGAACTGACCACACATAATATAATATATATTATTACATATATATATATAAATTCAGGAGTCTACTGTAGTCCTTAAGATATCAGCACAATAACACACTCAGCAAAATATCGTCTAATTATTGTTATCGATTAAAATCCCAGAAAATAATGAGATGTTTTGTCAATATTGCAAACCCCTAATTTGTTATTTAATTTATATAATAATTTATTGATAATAATTCTTTAAATTAATGTAATGATTAATACTTCCGACTCCATTTTCTTAAAAATGGTTTAAAGGCTGAAATGTAAAGTTTATCATTTTATAAAACTGTTTGTTTTTTTGTGAAAACTTGTATATGAATTGTAAATTATGCTTTTTTTACAGTCATTTTACAGTTTAATATGGTACTATAGACATTGCCCTACCCCGCTCATATGGTATTAATTTTATTTGTGCAGGTCTTAATAAAGGTCTTAAAAAGTCTTTAATTTGCACTTAAAAAATCCTGCAGAAACCCTGTTTAAACGAATCCAGAAAATGAAGCCGCCTCAATATTCATAAATGTCTGTAAACAAGTGATTATCCAGCTTTCCCAGTATGTTCTGGGGAACAACGAATGTTTTGGAGTGTTATCATGGAGTTTGTTTAGCCTATTTAGTGATTTCATGCACGATAAACAATATGTTTCATATACAAAGATAGAAACAATAGAGGAACATCTCCGTGATATCAAATTTAGATCTCTGAGAAAACTCCTCAGCACTAATGTACTGATAAACATCCTCCGGAAAGGAGGCCATTGATTTTGTGACCAGTACAGCAATTGAGCTGATCTCTCACTCTTTCTCTCTCTCTGTGTCCTTTCTGTTACAGGCTAAAAGCGCTGGTTTCGACTGGGGGCAGAAATGTACAAGCATCCTGTGACTGGTGAGTGTGCACACCCACACACGTTCACCGTGACCCTTGTCGTTTTTTTTACAGCCATTCATTTCAGCTGAACCGTGCTGAGCCACAGACACTCTTTAAGTTTTGAAATGATAATATGTTGCATTTTAACTTGAGCACAAACACACACTGAAAAGAAACATTACACTATGAGGTGGGCTCACATATAATCTGAAACTCAGTTTTGTGTGCACTTCACCTTTAATGGTTTACTGCTGCCCTCTGCTGTCAGGGAGTCAGAAGCATTTTATCATTGATATGTTCTTACTTTAAAAATAAAATTAAACTTACCATGTTGTTCATTTCAGTCCCAATCAAAAAGTGTACCTACTGCTCACTTATTTATAATGCCTTATCGAACATGGCCTGAATGTCTATTTTGCAGGTTGTTCTCCCATGTGGATGACCCGTTCCTGGATGATCCTTTACCCAGGGAGTATGTGCTGTACCTGAAACCCAGCGGTCCCCTCCTCAACCAGCTCTCCAACTTCTGGCAGCAGAGTCGCATTACATGTGGCAAGAACAAAGCCCACAACATCTTCCCTCACATAACCCTCTGCCAGTTCTTCATGGTCAGAGCACTTCATCAATATATACAAACATGTGTCTTTACTAGATCTGTTATTTTGTGTTGTTTTACTCAATACCACTTTTTGAATGCTTTTTTTAAAAAACAGATTAGGCAAATGTTTTATTTTTATTTTTATTGTATTTTTTGTGTGTGTGGCACAGCCTCTTAGAAACTATAAAAAGTTTATATGTATAGTTGGCACTGAAAGCCTTGTGGTTAGTACATTGACATATAGCGCAACTGCGCTCACGGTGGCCCGAGTTCGATTCCCGCCTCAAGGTCCTTTGCTGATCCCGCTCCCTTCTCTCCACCCAAAGCTTTCCTGTCAGCTCTCCACTGTCCTGTCCCAATAAAGCAGGGCTGCCCAAACTCGGTCCTGTGCCCATAAATATAACTTAAAAAAAGTTTACATGTATAAATTTACATAATATTGTAGCAGATGCTTTTGTCCAACGCAACTTAAAAATAAGGAAAAACACAAACATTTTAGCATAACTGAAGCAAACAGTATTAGCTGTGAATGTACGACAGGCACTTTAATAGAAAATTGAAAATAACTTTGAATGTCTTTTGAATAATGAAAACAGCTTATAAATATAACTTAAAAAAAGTTTACATGTATAAATTTACATAATAATGTAGCAGATGCTTTTGTCCAACGCAACTTAAAAATAAGGAAAAACACAAACATTTTAGCATAACTGAAGCAAACAGTATTAGCTGTGAATGTACGACAGGCACTTTAATAGAAAATTGAAAATAATTTAGTTCTGTCATTTTTCATTGCTGAATAACAAAGTTCATGCACACAATGTTGCAAAGGATACAACAAACCATTTTGATTACAAAAAAGGTACATGCTATCTTCTGAGGTAATGCAACGAACAGATCCAAATTCAAGTCATTATTTATTGATAATCTCCCCCAGCATTCAACGCTGCCAGTTATGTTCTTACATGCTATCTGTATGTGATATACACCACCATTCGTTTTATTTTTCACAAGTCTCTTATGCTTACCAAGGCTGAATTTATTATCAGTTGTTAAAAACAGTAATACTGTGAAATATTATTGCAACTTAAAATAACAGTTTTCTATTTTAATATATTTTAAAATGTAATTAATTCCTGTGGTGGCAAAGCTGAATTTATAGCAGCCATTATGTCACGTGATCTTTCAGAAATCACTCTAATATGCTGATTTAGTGCTCAAGAAACATTTCTTACTATCAGTGTAAAAAAAAAAAAAACAGTTGTTCTGCTTATTATTTTTGTGGAATTCACACTACTTTTTTTCCGGAATGTTTTTAGAAAGTTCAAAAGAACAGCACTTATTTGCAATAGAAATCTTTTGTATCATTAGGAATTTATTTATGTGTTAATTTCTTCCAAAAAACGTTTTTGAAATGTTTCTGAATTTTTGAATGGTAGTGTATGTTCTTTGTTGTTGATAACATCACTGTAAGACTGTATCTCTTTCTCTGTCACTGTAGTGTGCAGATAGTAAGGTAGATGTCCTCTGTGAAGCTCTGCAGGCAGTGGTGGGTCAGTGGAGAGGTCGTTTCCCCTCCCCACTACCCCTGGAGTTTTACTCATCCTCAAACTTCATCGGCCTCTTTGTGGAAGAGAAAGTGGCTGAGGTGATCAAGAGCTTTGCTGCAGACTTTGCTACTGAGGCGGCTTCCAAAGCAGGTGTGTGTGTGTTTGTTTGTTATTGCTATGCCTGCATATAACTGATGATGACACAGTGGAGCAATAGTCTTAATTTTCTGTCTTTGCAGCTCCCTTCCTACCTCTTTCAATTCAATTTTAGTGTGCTTTACTAGCATGGAAGAAAACAGGCATTTGTATTGCCAAAAAGGTTCATTCAATGTAAAATAAAATAAAAAAGTTCTCTCTCTCTCTGCAGATGTTCATGTGGAGCCCCATAAGAAGCAGCTTCATGTAACTCTGGCCTACCACTTCCAATCCAACCATCTTGCATCATTAGAACAACTTGCCAAAGGTGTAGATATAACATTGGGCTGTGATTGGCAGGCTGTGCTTTTGTCACGGGACATCCGATTTGCCAATCATGAGGTAGTCAAATTGTTGTCATTCATTGTTTTTTTTGTATTTTTTATCTAGCATCCTTAATATTATACTCAATAAATTAGAATGTCGTGGAAAAGTTCATTTATTTCAGTAATTCAACTCAAATTTTGAAACTCGTGTATTAAATAAATTCAATGCACACAGACTGAAGTTGTTTAAGTCTTTGGTTCTTTTAATTGTGATGATTTTGGCTCACATTTAACAAAAACCCTCCAATTCACTATCTCAACAAATTAGAATATGGTGACATGCCAATCAGCTAATCAACTCAAAACACCTGCAACGGTTTCCTGAGCCTTCAAAATGGTCTCTCAGTTTGGTTCATTAGGCTACACAATCATGGGGAAGACTGCTGATCTGACAGTTGTCCAGAAGACAATCATTGACACCCTTCACAAGGAGGGTAAGCCACAAACATTCATTGCCAAAGAAGCTGGCTGTTCACAGAGTGCTGTATCCAAGCATGTTAACAGAAAGTTGAGTGGAAGGAAAAAGTGTGGAAGAAAAAGATGCACAGCCAACTGAGAGAACCGCAGCCTTATGAGGATTGTCAAGCAAAATCGATTCAAGAATTTGAGTGAACTTCACAAGGAATGGACTGAGGCTGGGGTCAAGGCATCAAGAGCCACCACACACAGACGTGTCAAGGAATTTGGCTACAGTTGTCGTATTCCTCTTGTTAAGCCACTCCTGAACCACAGACAGTGTCAGAGGCGTCTTACCTGGGCTAAGGAGAAGAAGAACTGGACTGTTGCCCAGTGGTCCAAAGTCCTCTTTTCAGATGAGAGCAAGTTTTGTATTTCATTTGGAAACCAAGGTCCTAGAGTCTGGAGGAAGGGTGGAGAAGCTCATAGCCCAAGTTGCTTGAAGTCCAGTGTTAAGTTTCCACAGTCTGTGATGATTTGGGGTGCAATGTCATCTGCTGGTGTTGGTCCATTTTGTTTTTTGAAAACCAACGTCACTGCACCCGTTTACCAAGAAATTTTGGAGCACTTCATGTTTCCTTCTGCTGACCAGCTTTTTGAATATGCTGATTTCATTTTCCAGCAGGATTTGGCACCTGCCCACACTGCCAAAAGCACCAAAAGTTGGTTAAATGACCATGGTGTTGGTGTGCTTGACTGGCCAGCAAACTCACCAGACCTGAACCCTATAGAGAATCTATGGGGTATTGTCAAGAGGAAAATGAGAAACAAGAGACCAAAAAATGCAGATGAGCTGAAGGCCACTGTCAAAGAAACCTGGGCTTCCATAGCACCTCAGCAGTGCCACAAACTGATCACCTCCATGCCACGCCGAATTGAGACAGTAATTAAAGCAAAAGGAGCCCCTACCAAGTATTGAGTACATGTACAGTAAATGAACATACTTTCCAGAAGGCCAACAATTCACTAAAAATGTTTTTTTATTGGTCTTATGAAGTATTCTAATTTGTTGAGATAGTGAATTGGTGGGTTTTTGTTAAATGTGAGTCAAAATCATCACAATTAAAAGAACCAAAGACTTAAACTACTTCAGTCTGTGTGCATTGAATTTATTTAATACACGAGTTTCACAATTTGAGTTGAAATACTGAAATAAATGAACTTTTCCACGACATTCTAATTTATTGAGATGCACCTGTAGTGTTTTGTTTTAAGTAATTATTGTCAGATCATTTATCATCATTTAGTATATAATTTACCATTGTTGATACTAAATATTTGCTATCGAATGTCCAAATAAAATATACCAATGTATCACTACTTTGATTCATCTGTATCCGTGCAATTATTTTAATAATTTCCAAATTATAAATAAGATGGATACACTTTGTATTAATCCACTTAGTATTAAGTATTAACCTGTTGTATTTATAATGGATGATTGAATATATTTAATTAAAATGCTCTTTTTGTTAATGCTGATAGATTACTAATTAATTCTGTTATCATATACTGACTTTTTGGTTTTGGTGGCTTTGTAACTTTCTATCTTTCTGTTTTAAGACCTTGCGGGTGATGTACCCCTATGTGCCTCAGAATGATGATGAACTGGAGCTGGTGCCCGGTGACTTCATCTTCATGTCGTCTACAGAACAGGCCACTGCCAGTGAGGGCTGGGTCTATGGGACCTCGATGAGCACAGGGTTATCTGGGCTACTGCCAGAAAACTACGTCAATAGGGCAGACGAGTGTGATACTTGGGTCTTACATGGGTAAGATGGGTCAAGAAGTAACCAAAGCTGCTTGTACTCTATGCTCAAATGTGTGGGGTCAGTTTTTTTTTTTTTTTTTTACGAAATTTTTTTTATTTAGCAAGGATTCATTAAATTGATCAAAAGTGACAGTAAAGACATTTGTAATGTTACAAAAGATTTATATTTCAAATTCATTCTGTTCTTTTGACATTTCTATTTATCAAAGAATCCAGAAAAATGCATTATAGTTTCAAAAAAAAATTATGCAGTACGGCTGTTTTCAATAATGAAAATAACAGGAATAATTTTTAAAGGATAATGTGACACTGAAGACTGGAGTAATGGTTGCTGAACATTTAGCTTTTGCCATCACTGGAATAAGTTAATAAGTTAATAATATTTCAGAATATTATTGGTTTTATTGCATTTTTGATCAAATAAATGGATCCTTGGTGAGCTTCTTTTGAAAAACTTGATCAGTAGTATAGTGTCAAACTCTTATGTGTCTGTGGTGAATGTATGTTAGAACTAAAAGCAGTAACTAACATATTTAAATCTCTTCATCTCTTTACCTCTTGTTTAGGTCTTTGTCTTTCCTTAATGTAACCCCCCCAACCGATATCAGGGGTGCAATGGGTGGGATTTTTCTTGACCCACACTTGGACGGTCGTTTCTTTGATGACCCCATGCCAGTGGATCCCAACAATCTGAGCGTTA